ACAGATCAGATCTTTTGCATTCGTCAGATATTGGAGAAAAAATGGGGAGTGCGATGAGACAGTACATCAGCTATTCATAGACTTCAAGAAAGCCTACGATTCCGTTAGGAGGGAAGTATATTACAAGATTCTAATAGAGTTTGGGATACTCATGAAACTAGTTAGGTTGATTAAAATGTGTTTAAACGAAACGTATAGTAAAATCCGTGTAGGTAAACATTTGTCTTATAAATTTCCTATCCAGAATGGTCTAAAACAAGGAGATGCTTTATTGCCAGTCCTTTTCAACTTTGCCTTAGAATATGCAATTAGGAAGGTCCAAGGAAGCCAGGTGGGACTGAAACTAAACGGGACACATCAGCTGTTGGTCTACGCCAGCCGTGTCAAACATGCGGCCCCTCAACTTTTAGAGCTAATTGATATTAAAATCAATATTAAAATTTTAGTAGAAATATTTTTTGTAAAGACAATTTTCCAACAGACCAGAAGACAAGAAGTCTCAAGCAGACATAAATTAGCAGGGTGCAGGAAAAGTGATTCTGAGAATTGCAAAAGGGTTTGTCCAACTAACGGTTTATAAAGTTCGTGAAGGACGAACTATTGTATTTCAGAAGGTTAATGCACTAAAATTCCCACAGCCTCACCACCCCAAGTATTTCCAAGAATCCCTTTTGGAGGTGTAGTAAGAAAGCAAGGATGGTGGCAACTGACAGACCAGTGCAAGGGATTTCTAGGTTCAAAACTAGCTTGCAACCCCTAGCCATTGTCTAATGGACTGCTAGCAAACTTTCACTTTTATGACCATTGAGACATGAGGTGGCCCTCTGTACAAGTTGAGTTTGACATGCCTGGTCTACACCTATGATGTGAATCTACTGGGTGATAATGTAGATACCATAAAGAAAAACACACGAGCTTTAATTGACGCAAGTAAAGAGGTTGGTCTAGAAGTAAACACAGAAAAGTAAGTATATGTTGCTGTCTCATCACCAAAATGCAGGGCAAAATCATGACATAAAGATAGGAAACAGATGTTTTGAAAATGTGGCACAGTTCAGATATTTGGGAACAACAATAACAGATCGAAACCTGATTCAGGAGGAAATTAAGAGGCGATTGAACTCATGTAATGCTTGCTACCATTCAGTCCAGAACCTTTTGTCTTCTCGTCTGTTGTCCAAGAACATAAAAATTAGAATATACAAAATTATTTTGCCTGTGGTTCTGTATGGGTGTGAAACTTGGTCTCTGACATTAAGGGAGGAACATAGACTGAGGGTGTTTGAGAACAGGGTGTTGAGGAGAATATTTGGACCAAAGAAAGATGAAGTCAGAGGAGGTTGGAGAAAACTGCATAATGAGGAGCTTCATAACTTGTATTCTTCTCCAAGTATAATTAGAATGATCCAAGTCAAGGAGGATGAGGTGGGCAGGTCATGTAGCACAAATGGGGGAGACGAGGAATGCGTATAGGATATTATTGGGAAAACCAGAAGGAAAGAGACCCCAGGGAAGACCAAGGCATAGGTGGGTGGACAATAGTAGAATGGGTCTTAGAGAGACAGGATGGGATGGATTGGATAGATCTGGCTCAGGATAGGGACCAGTGTAGGGCTCTTGTGAACATGGTGATGAACCTTTGGGTTCCATAAAATGCTGGGATATTCTTGAGTAGCTGCAGAATTGGCGGCTCTTCAAGAAGGGCTCAGCTCCATGAGTGAGCGAGTGAGTGAGTAAGTAAGTAAGTAAGTAAGTACTAATGTGATCTACAAATTTAGAAAAAATTGTAATTATCCAGATCTGTTTGTCATTAATTGATAATCATAACAAAGATGGCTACTGATGGTACAATTTTAAACATATATTGAAGAGGCTGTTACGTCTCTCTAGCTTGTATGAACATTTTGCGGATTGGCGATTTAAATCACCCTGGGGACCGGCATTTTTAAACATACTACCCTAACTTATGCACTGTTCACTTTAAAAATTAATATAAAATCTAATTAATTTTATGAACTAAAATTTTTGGAGAACACTTTCCAATGCTCCTAGAAGTGCTTGAGAGTGTGATATTTCTGGAAACATTCCCCTTTGTGAAGTGGCATTACAGAGAACTTGCAAATGTAGACATGCTCCTTTTTTTGTGAACTGTGGAAACACGGCACTGCCTAGAAGGATGCTTCCCCTTGGAATGTTCACTCTTCACAATTTTCATGAGGGTATGTTTCCACATATCACCCAAAAGTCTTGGGATTGGATGGGCATGGTCGCACTAAGTCTGTCATTTCATCAGAAATGCTTTGTTTTTCAGTTTCAAATCAGGGTTTAGATTTTTGTGATTTTTTAAATTTTTTACTGTCCCCCCAGTGTTAGTCACCGCAATGTTATTACCCCCATTATCATCGGAGCTACGGTCACTTTTACTGTCTGTGGCCACAAGTGACCACAATTCCTCGCTCTCCCCTGTCACTGCTGCTCTCTCAAACACGATAACTACGCATCTCACAAGGCAGGTCAGCTGGCTCAACAGAAAAGAATTTGTTCTTGTCCATACCCCAACACTAACTACTGGCTGATACATACAGCTTGAAGAGCAACAAAGCATTCTCACTTATAGTGGCTTAAGAAAACAGCGAGATCAACTTACTGAGAAGTAAGCGAATATTCAAGAGTTTTATTACGCCATTGCGTGCAACTTTGGTGGCGCCAGAGAGATGTATAGTGTGTTGCAACTTATCGTGTTTTGAAAACCTGTTAACAGGTGAACGGTCCGCCATGTTTAAAAGCGAAAAACCTTTTAAAGGGTGCGCGGTCTGCAAAGTGTTAACATAGAACTGGTTATAAATGTGTGACGCTGGAAGACAACTAATTGGTAATTTAAGTGATTATATGAAATTGTGACTATGTTTTTATAGTAAGTTATTTAATTTATGTTTCAATTGAATTTTATTTATTATTATTATATGTGATTTTATGATGTATAAGTTTGCCTATCTGCAACCTGCAAAATTGATGTTAACCTACTGTTTCAAATAATGGACTCATACAATTTTGTATATGTATTTTGAAGATTATTTTGATATGTATTTTGAGGACCACTTCCACATCCTGGTTATATACTGTATGGATCTATGGAAAATAAATAGAATGAATGAATGAGTTCTGGGAAGATCCTCTGGTCAAATGCTGCATGCTGTTATTTTGCATTGTGAAAGAATTGGTATGGATGCCAGTAAATATGAATATATGCTTAACTTCAAGGCTCGAGGTACTCAGTTGGACCAAATGTCTTCAGGCAACACGCATGTTAATGCTTATCAGCGGAATGCAGATCTATTTGCACCTGATCAATCTGCATTTCCAGAGACCCCTGGCCAGTTTTGGTAAGTGATTAAGAGAAATTTTCATAACAATTCATACTTGTGTGCTTTATTTAATGATACTGCCATAGCTCAGATTGTATAGCAGTGAATGAGAGGATGATTAGTAAGTAATGAATTCGAAAGGATGTGGAAGGAAGTGGTTTTAATATACTTTGAGACACTATCTTTGCTCTCAGGTTTGAAGAAAACAATTTATCCCTAAGGTTGAGATTTGGATCTGACATTCTTGAATGCAAAGGAGTGTTGACCATGTGACGAGGAAGTCTGTTAGAATTTCTTAGGAACTGAAAATAACTGCCATTGTCCTGTGATCTCTGCAGTGCAAGATTATGTAACAATTTTTATATCAGATCAAGAAATGTCTTCATTCACACTGCTCTCAGTCTCAGACTTTGTAGAATCTGAAAGAACTGCCTTGCATTATGAATACATAATTGCATGCATACTACCTGATCTGATAGAACCAAATGGTATGAGAATAAACCTAGGAAATTGTTGACTATGACTTGAGACTGTACAGAGTCCTGCTGACAGAGATTCAAACTGAGCACCTCCCAACAAAAAGTAGAACATTGCCACTATGCCATCCCATCTGGAAAGAATACAAGTTTCTAGTGATGAACATACACTCAGTTTCATTTGCCATTGTTTGCAGGGAAATGTATGGAGCACATTACCTGCAGATAGCTCGAGAAATTGAGTCCTTAGAAGCCTCCTCCATTCCTGCTGAATTGCCTGTGGCTGAGGAAAGACCACCAGGGGTATTGACGGAAGCAGGAATTGAGCGGCTGCCATCCTACAAGCAAGTCATCATAACATCTTGCGTGTATATTCAGTTGATGTAATAGTAAGAACCATGCAGGATTCTTCGCATAGATCAGATTAATGTTTTCATAGGAAAAACTGTTAACTTTTCGTTATTTTGGGGACAGCTATTGTTTTCACCTTTCATGAGTCTGTATACTTAGGAGTAATGTAATGTCTGCTGTGTGAGATGCAGTGAGTTTATGGGAACAGCCTTCCAGTGGCCACAGGCATATGCATTGCTAGTTATCTCTAAATATCAGTGTGGCAGATATGCCAGCAACACTCAAAATCTCTTTCTTCTCTTGTAATATAGCACCTGCAGTACACTCTGCTATGGTAACCAAAATCCTATATTTTGTACAGGCAGTCTACTTGCCACATGTAATTACATCATCAGACCTTACAGTAGAAATTGACTACCTCATTCTGTATATTTTAAATCCTTAACTGCAACGTGGGATCATAGTTTTCCAATGTCTCAACTTGTTTCATTGTATCTTTCCCGTATGTCTCTGACATAGGCAGACCTGTTTCTGGGGCATTCAAGCTTCTCTTCCACTCCCCTTTGTAAGAAATTTTGCATGTTCCAACTTTGTATATAGATTCCATATTGTCTGAGGTCTTCCTTGGTCTGTCAAGTTCTGTCTGTGTTAATTTGTCCTGAGTGTATTCATAATTCTTTCTTAGTATCTTCGTTCCTGATATGATCTAGTGTATTGGTTGCTTTAACACCATGTACAAATATCCAAAATTGAAGGTCAGTTGCATCAGAAAAATAAGTATAAATTACCTGCGTATTGTACACATTTTCATGCAGTACTTGATGTTAAAGTTGTCCCTGCACTTAATAATTAAGCACTACCCCATGAAAACACTTGAGTTATAACTCCACCATCCTTGACTTGATGTTATTTGTTTTAAAAGTTCTAGTTATTTAGTCTTTATATAAATTCTGACAATTAAATGAATAGTATTAAATCAAGGGGCACAGTCATGGAAGAGCATGTGGAGACACAAGAGACGCACACAACATGGGTTCCATTATTCATGTGAACTGCATATAAAGTACAACTCCTCTTCATTGTTTCTTGTGTTAATGTTTTCCTACATTTAACATTCAGTAATAC